ATTCATTCCAGTTCATTAATTACGACCATAGGTTTAAGTAATAATAATACGTTAATAATAAAAATATATTCTTTATATTTGAGCTAATCAGGATTGGTGGCTGAATTTTCCCATAATAATATGAGTAGGTCTTATGTCTCAATTGAATTCCTCATAGCCTTGCCTCTAAAAAGGTATTCTCACCCAGTGGGAATGTTCCAGTAAACCAATCAATAGCTGATCAGGAGGAATCCGCCGTCGTCTTCTGGTGGAACCGACCTTCGAATCCCTTCACCAAATGCTTATTTATTGTTTCATACTTAGGAAGTTTCTAAATGCCTACTTATGAAACGAGAAATAAGTATGAATCAATGGGTGAAATTAAAAGTGCAAATATATATATATACTTTATAGAGATTTATTTAGTATGCATCCTTTTAGAATATCTCGTTAGGACTATTCGTCGAGTATAAAAAATGGTATTTTTTCAAGATTACAATTATTGTGAGTCATTGCATTTAATATATACAGGAGGAGGTAATCAGAAAGTGAGCACTTATTCAAGATGTGTAATTATGATTGGCAGTTGAAGACTTACTGTATGCCAGCAGCATAATAAATACAATCGCAAGAGGGGCTCTTTTTTCATTTTATATTATTGCTTATTTCTCTTTCATTTTTATTTCTCCTTTATAAAGATAGAATTTTGATATGAAGAGAAGCTGGGTTTTGATAGTTACTAAGCCGTCTCCTTTTAATCTCTGCAGTGCACCTACTGGCTATTAACCTAAGCGTGGTTTAAATCACTGTCTTTGAGGGGCATTACGTTTTTTAGTACCTTTTTGTCAGATTTTTTAGCCCCTGTCATTTATCAGATTCATAATCTTTTTTGTAGTTGCCTGGTCCATTTTTCTAGCTTTGTATTACTTCTTATTAATGGTTTGCTTAATAGTGGTTTTGGCGAAGCACAATCCAGATTTACATGACTATTAATCCAATAATTTGCTAATTTTCTCGCCTTTTGAGTAAATAAAGGCATATTCGTACCTATTTTCCTAAATTATCTTCCGTGAGGAGATCTTAGAACGAAAATTATTATTCGTCAACATCTTCTGTCATGCTTATTTGCTGGATACTGAATTATGCTTTACTAGAATCCAAGCTAAAAATAAATAAAAACGAATGTTATCTAAATGATTTTAAAGTGTTTTCATAACATTTGTGCTATTATTTAGTATGATTTTATTTGGAATTGACCATTGATAATATTTTACAATCACTCTCAAACTTTTAAGATTGTCTTTTTCTTCAGTACTCTACTTTTCATCCCAAAAAGCAGTCCTGACCTTTTAGTTCTTGTTTAATTAGATAACATGAGAAGTATTTACCCAATTTCGTTTAAGGTGATGAAGGACTGGTAGAAGAAGAATTTTCTTACAATGATTAGAGTTGAGCTGACGTTTCCATTGAATTTCACATAGCCTTGCTTTCCCAAAAGTTGTTCTCATCCAGGGTG